GAGCACTACATATATTCAAAAACTATCCCTGTAATGATAAACGATATGAACTGCAAATAATTTTTTTCAGTTTGTCATTCATGTTTTGCCTTTGTGCGTGTATGTTGTTGCCTGGCATGCCTAAGTGCTGTTATCATTTGTGCTTTTTAAATGTAGTTAAGTGCACTTAGTTACTGCTTGCTTCTGGCTGTTAAGTTAGAGTTTAGAAAAAGGTCTTCTTCATTGCAAAATTAAAAGTGAATTCACTCATAATTTCTATTAGTAATTTTAGAGCTTCATCTTTCTAAAAATGTAAATCTTTGACCCATTCAGACCTTGTGAAGGTGCATATTGAGAAGTAAAACTTTTTTCCTACGGGGAGCTCAACTCTAGGTTTCAGTCAGGACATAAAGAACATCAGTGATGGTGACATGTGAAGAGTGGGGTGTCGGGTGAGAGAGCACAGCTTGAGGCAGGGATGTGAGGAGAGGGTGGGGTGGGACTGAAGTAGAAGGCACCTCTCCTGGTTTCCCACTATTGGTCTAGCTCAGTGGCACCAGAGTTCCATTTATTACTTTTCTGCAAAGTAGCCACTTGCTTTTCAAAATTCAATGTGGTCGGCTATACCAAACTACCTGTACTTAGGTAGTAATTAGCCATCTTATCCTTTTGACAAAGTCATTTATAGTTGTCAACCAGTTTCTGTGATAAAGAATGTGCTGGCCAGAATTACCACGCTGAGTTGTGCTTTCAGCCAGAAGCACAGAACCTTGAAGAGTTAGTCTGAAGAGGTTCATCTTGGATAAAAAAATGAACCATTTTAGAAGGCTTTGGGGAATGTTGGTGGTGTACATATAGCTTCTTTCTTTGTTCACGGATCTCTAAGGACATAGGACCTGGGGTGGGGGACCTGAGTTCTCACCCTCATTCAGGTCTATAGGAGCTGTATAAAGGGCTGGGGAGGGGCAGATTTCAGCTGTACCGGTGTGCATACCAACCCATGCTGTAGACCAAATAGTTCTCTTAGCAACTTTTCTACTAGAGGTGCCCCAGGAAATGTTTTCTTTTCTAAAATTGTTTCCTTGTGTGAATAAATCTTTGTTATGAGAAAAGTCTGCAAAGGTGAGAATGTTGCTTCAAAAAAAAAATTAAAAGGCTTCTCAGCAATAAAATTGGTTCCTCTTCCTGAAGCAGAGACCTCGGGGTGGGGGTAACAGTGAAACACTGACAATCACAGGAAGGGATGCCAGGGTGCTCCCTGCTGGCGACTGAGGGCCCACTTCCAGGCTGCACCTCAAAACAATTCAGACTTTCTGGGCGTGGGGTCTAGGCATCAGTAAAGTTCAAATCCCCCAGATGATCCCAGGGTGCCACCCCTGCTTCAGAATGACTTTTCAGTGTGCTGCGCAGGCCAGCAGTGCTGGCAGCAGTGGCACTTGTCACACGCGCAGAATCTCAGGCCCCATCTTATACCCTCTGAATTGGGATCTGCATTTCCACAAGATCTCCAGTTCCTTCACATGTGCATTAGAGTTAGAGAAGCAGCGGTCTAGACTAGCATTTCTCAAATGTGCAATCACGACCACCTGCATCACACTCACCAAGAGGGAGAGAAGGCGGGGGAGGGGGGGTGTTAGGGAACTTCCAAAGAAAACAGATCCTGGAGATGGTGTGTATAAATCAGAGAGTGGGGCCGTGGAATCTGCATTTAAGTGTGCTCCCACGTGATCCTTATATTTACTGTTTGAGAGCCAGTCCCAAGACAAAAGTCAGCAGTAAGAGAGCTGCCTTCTCCTGTCCTGCCTGGAAATTCCCTTAGTGACTCTAAAAAGGTCCAAGCACACCCCCTTGCAAGTGGGGGATAAGTTGGTGATAATCTCCAAATGTTTCCACTTGACAAATGTGATGTTCTGCCCTCTGACCTGTAGAGTGACAGAGAAATGAGTCTCAGTTCTCTTGGGTCAGTGGCTGAAAAAGCTGCAATTTGGATCTCTAGGCCCCTACCTTAACAACATGATTAAAAATAAAAAAATGCTGATGCTCAGCTGAATCCTTGGAGGGTTTCAAAAAACCCTCAGCATGCACAGTAGAGTCCCGAGAAGGAGCCAGGTTTCCCTAAGGGAGGGGTCCTTTTTGAACTTTTTGCTGAGCCCAGGATTTCTAGATGATAACATGGGTAAAAACTGAACCCAGGAAGGAAATTTTAATTGCTCTCAAAAGATGAGTTTGAAGTATGTCATGCTCCTATATCCCTTTAAAAGTTCATTTTTGCATGTGTAAGACATTTAAAAGCATCTATGATAATGGCCATTTTTAATGGATTTATCGTCAGGTACCCAGGATTCTGAAGTATGGCTCACACTTGACTTGAGATGACAGAACAGAAATCTTTGTAATTATTAGTGAAATAAGACCAAGGATCACGGAATGGAATGGGGAACTGCAATGTGATCTAACTGTAGTTGTTATATAATTACTGAGTTAAAATGAGCAAAAGCAAAGAAACTTAAAACTTAAAAAGATTTTTGAGACGTTGCTTTAAAGACCTTCTTTAGAGTAGTGTTTCTTGAGCCTTTTGAGGGAGGGAGTGCAAGGGAACTCCTCTGAGCAGCTCATGGAAAGCTACGAACTCTCCGAAGGGGCACGTGCCCATGAGTCCACATACACACAATTTTCGGGGTTCCACATACTCCTCCGAGCCCATATTTGAACCTCAGGTTGACCCTGAATTTTAAGAAAATTGCTCCATATTGATCTCGCCCATTTGGAACCCACTTCTGACTGAGGAACAGCTTTCTCAGCATCAAGGTGTCAGGTGGTTGGGAAAATCAGGGCTGCTGGTTTGCACTTAGACAATTAGGTCAGTAATCTCACGCGGATGGGCCAGGCCAGGTGGGAAGCCAGGCCTCGGGATTATGCCAGGGGAAGAACCCTTCCTTGTGGAAACCTGCACTGACTCCCGGCTTTAGGGGGGCGGGGAGCAGGAGGAAAGCAGGGCTGGCAGGGAGGGTGGTGGTGGATGGACAGCGAGTTGCACAGGCAGAGCCTGGGGGCTGGTGTGGCACCTTCTAGTTTTCACACTCGAAGGTGAAAACTTCTGTCCCAAGTTGAGAAGCAGAGTTTTTTTAAAAACACTGCCGAGGCTTATGCCCCTCGGTTAGCTGCAGACTCAAAGGGCATCAGAAATGGAAGAAGACTCACCTCTGCAAGCCCTCGCCCACTGAACAGATTAGGAGTCTGCCCCCAGAGGGCTAAGGCGCTCGGAGGGTGAAGTCCCCAGCTGGATTCTCACCCAAGGGCCTCTGGCCACTGCACCTAGCTGCCCACTAGCCCGGGCGAGCGGGCGTCGGGGCGCGCTCCCCTTCGCTTCCCAGCCCCCGCCTACCGGCACCATGGAGTAGGTCATCATCATCAGCATGTCGTGGCTCTCGGCGCGGACGTGCGGCGCGGGCTCCCCGCCGTGGCTGCGCTTGTTGCGCGCTGCGCTGGCGAGGTCCGCGGGTGGAGCGGGTGCCCGGCGGGGCGCCCGGCTCAGCTCGGCCAGGAAGGCGCGCAGGGCGCTGTCCTCGCGCTGCTCCCGGCCCCGCTGCGCCTCCAGCGCGCGCAGCGCCGCGCTCAGCCCGCGCCACTGGCACAGCGCGAACACCGTGCCCGCCGCGTTGAGCGCCGAGAGCAGTGCCAGCGCCGCCAGGGCGCCGCGTAGACCCCGGCCCGCGGCCACTCGGGCTCGCTCCGCGCCTTGGGCCATGCTCTGCCGCGCCTCAGGCCGGGGAGGCTCGACAGCCTCCGGACCCGGCCGCCTTTATACACCGGGGGCCAAAGCCGTGGGCTGGTGGCAACGCCGTGAGTCACGCCGCCCTTTGGCTCGGGCCCGGCGGGGAGGGTTGGGGACTGCAGTGGTGGGAGCAGCCCAGAGGGACAGGCGGGGGGGGGGGGGGGGGGGGGGGACCGGGGAGAAGAGCTAGAGGAGACAGGCCAAGGAGGGGGGAGGCAGAGCTCGCTCTCCCCGTGCCCAGCCAAGCAAGCCAGCCAACCCGCCTCTCCCTCCTTTTCCTGCTGCCCTGCCGTGGGCATTCCCAGGGCCCCGACGGGCAGAGAGAGGGTCAGACTGAGAGGGAGAGCAGGAATTCTTATGGCCTGAGAAGTTACTGGATTCCGCCCCCTCTTTCCCCCACACTGCAGTCTCTGAAGAGGATCCCGCACCCAGATGCCAAGGCACATGCCCATTGTCCCTGAGAGTCCCAGGCTATGGGTGACTCCTTCCCCCTGACCATTGAATACTGGGGAGAAGGGGGGGCGGGAATCTTTCCCAGGAAGGAGATGGATAGAGACAGAGAGATAGTTGGTGTTGAAGAACTGAGAAAGCCACACATGGGAGTCAGGAAAACCCACCCCCTCTCCACCTGCCTGTCCCTCTGGGCTGCTCAGGAGCCACCCAGTGAGGCCACCGGATGAGACAAAAACCAGAGAGTGGGAATACGAGAGTGCTCTTAACCCCATTCTGCCATTATTCAGCTGGGGTCGCTGAGCCTGTCTCAAGACTACCTGGGCTGATTTCGAGGTTCTCTGGCCAAAGGCTGGGGACTCTGGCCAGCCCTTTCTGGACCTAACATTACTGCCCTGCTTGAGTGGGCAGCTGCCTCGTGCTTTCTCTTTACAATGCCCTTCCTTTCTTGTCAGCTCAGATGCCCACTGTGCATCTGAGGACCACTGTTCCCTAAATGCAGAGGCACTTCCCAGTTCCTCAGAGAACCTGTTCACGATCTGTCTTTCTCCATTTTCTGCAGAATGTCTCTGCCTCTCAGGGTTCCCCAGGCCTGCAATAGGCAGCAGTGAGATGGGAAGATCTCACTCAGAAGCCAAGAATGCTGTTTCTACAGCCCCTTGCTTCAGAGAGCAAGGTGGCTTCCTGCAATCAAACCAGCTGGAGCTGTCAAGGAGAAAGAACTTCCTCTAACATAGGGGGACATGACAGTTGAGCACTTGGGGGAATCAGGAAGATGGGGGAGCAAACAACTTACTAACTGATGATAGGTGCTCTGTAACCATCCTCAGAGATTTGCAGTCCAATTCCTGGGGAGGGATTTTTGGCACAGCAGAGAAAGCCTAGGTGGTAGATTTCTTGGCCTCCACTCACCAGAAAGAGGCAAGGTAGAACCTTTGAGGGAGCAAAAGGAAACTGAAGTTACATCTCAATCAGAAGCTCTGTGTTAAAGTCTAGACTGGAGTTTCCATAGGAATATTGACCAGCTTGACTCTGAGGGATGAGGAGGAATCGGGAAAGGAGGAAAGTGGTTCATGAAGGACCCCAGTTAAGGGGATAGTGTGGCTGGGAGGGGGTGGAGACGACACAGATCACTTTGTCCGGTTTGTCCCAACTCTAACAGACTGTGAACAATTTAGAGACTTGTCGTGCATCCTTCCTTCCTTCTTTTCATCCGGGCTTGGGATGCCAATTGTCAGGGTTGATCCCATGGGCGGAAACCACAGAGAAACAGTTGGGGCTCAGCCCGCGTAATCTCTTCATTTACCTTGCTAAAATTTCCTGAGCACCTGCGTGTTGGGCACAGTGTCGGGAGCTGGAGGTGCAGAGGTGAACAAGATGAGCAACTTAGAGTGTGAGCAGCTAGAGAGCCATGAGCCTCCTGAGCTTCCCTTTATCCTAACATCCAATACAGTGACTATTAACTGACCGTCTGTCACCAGGGCCTGCCATCAGCAATAAGACTCCTGAGGTTAAGGTCACATCTTGTTTGATCCTGTCTCCCTAACACTAACTAGCACAGTCCCTGGCTTGACGTGGTCATTCACAATTACCTGCTGAATGAGCAAATAAATAAATGAATAAGAGGGTGTATAGTGGGATATTTCTGTGGGAAACAATCTGTAATCAGTGTTAGAGTTTCTGTGGTGTCACAGAACTGACATCACCTTTCTCGGACGGTGCCTGACTAATGGAGAGTGAGGATTGCCAGATACCCCTCTTCTACCCAATCCCAGCCCCTGGGTCCGTGCCCAGAGCCAGAAGAAGTGGAGTTCCAGCTCTACGTGGAACCAGCCAGGCTTTAGATGCCAATGACCAGCCAAGATGCTGCCCCTCGGATGTAGGACTCAAAAGACTAGTGGCATGGACAGTGGGCCACGGGATAGTCCTGAGTGCAAAACCTGCTTTTAATGATGAGACTTGGAGTATGTTTCTCAACTTCTTGCAAGAGGCTGTAATCTCACAAGAGTTTTGAAGACAATGAATGAGAAAATACAGGACGGTGGGGTGCCTGAGATGTTGCACTGGAGCTGAGACAGGGGCAGAAAGAGGGTAAAGGAAAAGTCATTCTTCTTTCACCCAACTTTTCTCCCAGTTCCCTCTCCCAGTTCTCCCAGTTCAGTCTTTCTGTGTGGGAATGTGATGTTTTACAAGAAAGAAGGGAGTAAGGCCTGTTACTATGGCCTCCATAGCAGAAATTTTCACTCAAGCCTCACCCCCAATGGCTGGATCCAAGTAGCTGGTCTTTTTCTGTTCTCTTCCCTTCCTCCTCTGTCCTGTCTCCACTACCATTCCACACATTCTTTCTCTGGCCTGTGTCCGTGCTGCTCCTTTCGAAGACAGCACAGAGCTCCCTCCTTCCCCTCTGCCCTTGAGCTCTGTGAGCCCTGGGGACTCAGAGGCTGTGCATGAGCTTTGAAATGAGATAGACCTCAGCTCGAAATCTGTTTTTAATGATGAGACTTAGGGCATGTTTCTCAGCTTCTCACAAGAGATTATAATCTCACAAGGACTTTGAAGCTAATGAGAACATATGTGTAAAGCACTTGGTACGGTAAAGGTTCAGTGGACCTCAGTGCTGTTGGCTATGGGCTGCCTTGTAACTTGTGTTGTTGACCAATATCTTGGTTCTTTCAGATCTTGATTCATAAGTTGGGTTAGAATGTGCTTAAGGCACAGACTTTCTTTACTATTTCCCTGACTGAAGAATTTGTGCCAAGCAGGAATATTTAATTATTCAATTGATTATTAGCTAATCACACTTTGTTGATTCTTTTTGAGGAACAGAGCTTTTGAAAGGATGGTAAACTTGGCCTCTGGTCTGAGCACAGCGCCTTGGAGATTGGTTATGTGGGAACTTTCATTTTCTGGCTGTGACTTCAAGAAAGGCAGAGACGCCTTTGTAGACTGCCTTCCTAGCATTTCTCAAGATTGGCCTGCACTTTCTACTTATTATTATTATTCAAAAAAAATTAGCTCTTAATCCAGCCTGTTTTGTTGACATAGGGGGTTCAAGATACAGTGAGGACACCGTGAGATATCTGAAGTTCATTTTTTGGAGACCAAAGAAACCAAGAACATTGTGTACTATCTTTACAATGAGAAGTAGCTTTTCCATTAAGGGCAGATGCTTCATTTCCAAAGGTTAAATAGAATGGTCCTTAAAAAATGATTCCAGCTGGTTAACTTTAGGGCCCTGGAGAATAAAATCCAATTCAAGAATAAGTCTAACTTTAACTCCATAGCATTTCCTCCTGATTGTAAAGTGAATAATTTTCATTAGCCCTGTGGTCTGGAACTTGGGTATTTTGGTTCTCTCTGATGAGGTTGGCAGCTACGCTGTGACTTCTGACGGTATTTTGCTGCCTCTCTACACCCTACCGTTTTTCTTTGCCAGGGGGTTAGGAGCAAAGTCTCCCTAATAGTTGCCACCATACACATCTTCCATCCAACTGCCTCTGGTTTTAATTCCCAGTTCTTCATTTTAACCTCAAGACTCCAAGCTACCCAGCCAAATTCAGTTTCTTTCAGTGCTTTCATTCACTCATTCCTCTATCCATTCATTTCCCCAACTACTCAACCAATGGTAATTGGCTGTCTGCTATCTGCTGGGAACTGTTCTAGGAGCTCAGAATAGGATGGAGAGCACAACTAGATACCATTCCTGCCTCTCTGAAGCCTATAATCTAAATGGGGAGACAGAAATTAACCAGTAAGTACAGACTAGGGGGTATAACTCTAAACAAGATGATGAGCTGAATCCCCTGAAGTAACGGAGAATGATTCTGTGAGCTCATATCACTGAGAAATCTATCCTAGAGATGGGGTATAGAGTCCAGGAAGGCTTTTCTGAGGAACTTGGGCTGGAATCTGAAGATGACTGGTCATGCACGAGGTGGGAGTATGGGTGGGAGAGTTGTATGCAGAGGGGACAGCCTGTGTGAGGGCCAGTGGCAGGAGGTACCACAGTTTATTTGAAAGTCAGTGTAGCTGCAGCAAACACAGAACATGGGGCTCCAGCAGGAGATGGAATGAAATGGGACTGATGGTGGAGTAAGGGCCAGACTCTGTGGGTGGGACCTTGTAAGGTTGGAGCCTTATGGTAAGAACACTGGTAAGCCAGTGAGGGGTCTCAAGTGTGTGTTGTATGTGGAGGGAGGTTGTTGGATGACATATTTTCATTTTCAAAGATTACGGTTCATTGTCAAGATTTTCAGCAGTTTCTGTCACTACACAAACTATATATGATCTCTGGCCTCCACCAGGCTCAAACTTTAGCCTGTCAACACATCTCCGAGAGAAGTAAGAAAACCCTGAGTTCTAGAAAATGGTGCTTTCTTTTTCACCTCACATTTAAAGGTAGCTGAAAAACAGAACTCTGACTAACTAACTCTGATCTGGGAGATTTGATACTAAGTAGGGTTTTTGCAAAATAATCAGTAGGTATTTGCATTTTCGGAGGTTGCATTTGCATTTTTGGCACTTGAAGGTTGGAGCACCAAATCATATTATCTGTGGGAAAGGGAGTAAGAATAGATATCATCACTTCCCTCATGAGATTTGGTCTAAATTTGGCAGGTAAAAAAAAGATTTTCTTTTCTTATAGTTGCAGTAACGTAGACCTTTGAGTCACCCGTTCATTGTTAAACAGAGAGCTGCTGGAGGTTGTTCGCAGTGTTATTGCAACACTTCCCCCTCTGACTTTTCTTTGTTTTCTTTGGTTGGTAATAGACATACCCTACCCCACCCTACCCTTCTAGCCCACTGCAGTTAATTGTCACAGGCTGGGTTCTTTGGAATTGGGGTACAAGATGTTTATTAGGGATCAGCATTTGTGAAGGAAAGGGGGAGGAAGCAGGACTGGCAGGGAGTCCTCTAAAGCCTCAGACCACCTGCTGGGAAGCGCTGGATGGAGGGCTGCCCATCAGTGTCCACCTCAGGTCAGGATGGCTGGGCTTTCCCACAGTCTCAGTCATCTGGCAGGTATGGGAAGGGTACCAGGGAACTCTTGGAGCTGAAGCACTCTATGAGAGCACTCCCTGCAGCTGGACAGCGAGTCCTTCCTTTTGGGGGGATAGGAGGCCCCTCTCCCTGTCTAACACATCAACTAGCTCATTAGTGTCACACAAAGGTCTTGCAAATCCCACAGATCTGCAAAAACCTTTGTGGACTTTAAATTGTAATCATGCCAGACCATGCAGAGAGGTCCCTTTTCACCTAGAGTTATGGACTTTGAGTAAACAAAAGTGATAGTTTTCAGAAATGGAGTGAAAATATGACAAAAAGCCCTATAAGTGGTTCTGAAATGGCTAAATCCACGGAAGTAAGTTAATACTGAAAAATCCCACTTAAGAAACTTGAGCCACTATTTTGAAGGACAAAGTCTTACATGTATAGAGCACTTCAGTTTTCAAAGTACTTTCTCATGTCATATGAACCCCATAATAAGCCTGTGAAGTGAACAGGGCAAATCTAACAACCATTTCACAGATGAGAAAGCATAGCTAAGGAAGCTTAAGAGACTTGTTGAAACCTCACTAGCAATTGTCCACGTCTTCTTCATGGAACAACGGCGACTTCTTGGCCTAAGTCTTGGCCCAAGTGCTGAAGATGATAGAAGTGGAAAAATAGGTCAGGGGAATTATTACAATTGATGAAATGGAAATGGGCTTAGAGTAGTACTTGGCCCCAAGGCTTAATTAAAAACAAAGGCAGGCAAGGACCAAATCCACAATGTGTTAGCTACGCAAGAGAGAGAAGATTAATCCCCAGTGTAGTATTTTATGACAAGTTCAGAGCGCAATACAGTCAGAACATGATTTCCTGGAGACCAAGTAGGGGACCAACATCTCTATATCTCAGAGAATAATGTAGAACCTGGCAGAAAGGTGAATTTGGGGCCTGAAAGCGTACGACCTTTCCTTCCTCGGGTCAGAAGCCAGAGTACAAGCAAGATTAGTTACGGCTCACCTCTCCTGAGGCTAAGTGCGAGGGCCCAAAAGCGATTTCTGCCAGCGTCCAACCTGCAGGGAATGGCACACCATCTGCAGAGCCAGGGGACCGACACCAGGCCCCGAATGACTGCCCCCGCCAGGCGGAGCCATGCCATGCCACAGACCCTGAACTGAGATGACTTTTTCTTTTGGTTTTGTTTAAGAGACGCTTACAGCTGTGATACTGGGTCGTATCTCTGTTGAAATTATTCTGCTCATTCATTTTTCTTTTGAGCTCAGTAAGCTTCTTTATGACAGTTATTTTGGATCCTTTGTCAGATAAATCATATAACTCCATTCAATTAGGTTGTTTCCTGGAGATTTATCTTGTTATTTGAGAATCTTTGCCTGGTTCTTTACTTTCCTTGACTCTGTGTTAGTGTCTCTGCAATGGACAAAGCAATCACCTCTCCCAGTCTTTATAAACCAACCTTGTATAGAAGAAGCCCTCGCTAATCAGCCTGTCTAGAGAGCCTTGCTTCTTGCATAGTTGTTTTTTAAAAGATTTATTTATTTATGCATACAAGAACTGAGGTACAGGCCAGAGGTGTGGGATGGTGGTGAAAGGATTAGACAGAATGGGGAAAAGAACAGGTGGATTGACTGAAATACATTGCTGAGGGGAGCAGTGGGCGAGTCAGGAGAGGTCTGCTGCACCATGTAGGCTACCTCCCTGGCCGGGGATCAAACTCGTGCTGTAGTGGCTGTGGATAGCTTCATAGTGCTGCGTCTTAACTCCCTGTGCCACCAGGGAGGCCCCTTCATCTTGCTTGCTTTCTTAAAACTACATTAAGCACTGGTCTTTAAATCCCTCCTTCTTCTATTATCATAAGAAGACACCAGAATCTGGGTACTTGTAAGTATCTTGACGAAAGAACTTGCTGGATGAGAGGGAAGAGAAGTGTAGAGGTACAATGAATTTTATCTCTATTCCTGAAAGTGGGAATTGTCAGAAAGCTGAGGTGTGAGAGTCACCCTCCTGGCGCCTTGATAGGGGGATGAATCCCTACCACTTGTGGGTCTTATACTCTCCTAGCAGCTGGCACTGAGCCCAGAGAACAGACCAAAGCAAACATGACCTTACTACCTAAGGGACCCAGCAACACTCCTTGAAGGGGCTCGCTTAAAACAAAGTCACTAGAGAACAATTATGACTTTAGAATTAGCAAGAATATTAGGATGTGAAGATTCCAGTAGAGCACAGAAAGACTATCTGCAACCAAAGGACAAGATCTTCAGACAAAATAATTGGGTACAAACAGGAGAAGTAAAAGTTAGGTAACAGGAAGTAACTTTGCCAAGCCAAGCTGATTGTAAGGTTTCAGCAAGTTCTGGGCAAGCCAAATGAATCACTGCTTGGTAAATCCCTGAAGTCAAAAGATAAAAAGAAAGTCTTACAATTTTCAAAGAGAAAGTGTAAGTTACTTACAAAGGGAGAAGGATCATAAGGTATTCAACTTTCTCTTTTACAAAACTTGGAGCACAGAAAATTGAAGTGAGTCATGGGATGATTACTGCAAAATATATTACCTACCAGCAGTCTGTGGAATCCTGTAGAAGAATCTTGTAGCAAGACTTACTTCCCTGAGAGAGTGAAAGAAATACATTTGAGGAGATGCAAGAATTCAAAGGACACGTCACCCACATCTACTATCAGAGAAATGACAGTAAGAAAATACCTAGGGGCCTCCCTGGTGGTGCAAGGGGTTAAGTCTCAGCACGATGAAGCTGTCAGCAGCCACTTCAGCATGAAAGAGTTCGATCCCCAGCCAGGGGGCTACCCACATGGCACAGCAGACCTCTCCTGTCTCACTTGCTGCTCCCCTCTGTAGTGTATCTCAGAGCCTGTTCTGCTCCCCATTCTGTCTCTGATGAATCCTCTCACCCCGCCCCCATTTCTGGCCTTCACCCCAGATTTTGCTTCATAAATAAATAAAATAAATCTTAAAAAAAAACACGCAACCAAACAATAAATGAATCTGCTTAAAGGCTTCAGGATGGAGGGAAGATGAAAAGGAAGAAAATGATGATGAGCAGGGATCCTTACAATATATTATTAGTTAAGTTTGTATGAATAATAACAGACTGTTTAGGAATGTGTAATAGAAGTGCTCAAAATAGAAGATACACTTTAAGGGAAATGTTAATAATAGCCTGGAAACAAAAGCACTAAAGCAGAAAGAGGGGAGTAAAAGTTTTCCATAGGTCTCATGTTGGTGTTGCTCATGTTGCTCACCATTCTGGAAAATCATATTATGAATGGAAACGCACAGTTTAACTCTTAAAACACATGTAACTCTGTGTGGACTAGTGCCTATTACATTTGTGGTTTAACACATAGGAGCAGACATCTTACTAGTCAAGGGACCTGCCAGTGTGGTGATGTCCACATTTTTTCAGGTATTGAAATAATTATTATTTTACTATACAATTCTTTTGTTCCTTGATTATAACACAGGGAATGCATTAATTTTGTTTTCTAATTATGGAGAGGAAGTTTTATGTGTAGGCAGATGATGTTATCCATGGTTTTTACTTGAGTGTAATAAAGGGAGTTATGTTATTTGCTATAGCAAGGGGCATTAAATCCAACGTGACTGAGAGCCGCTATTCTAACTGAATCTGTCTCTGAAGCAACACTCATCCGTCTGCTAGCCCCACACTTGGTCCTGAGGGGGTCTGTGTATAGTGAGGAGATTAGGTCCAAATAACCTTCTCTTCCACTTTGGGGAAACTTCAAAAATTAAGTTCCTAAGCAACTGGATTCAGTGTCACTACTTCTTTTCAACCAAGGAATAGAAAGATCAAGTGGCATCATGTCTAGTTCAGCCCAGGTGCTTATAGGCTCTGCCTCCTTCATGAGGGCCACCTGGATCAGCTTCCCCTCTAAGGAATACCCTCCTCCCATCTCTGATCTACCCACTCACTCTCCCTTAACTTTTTTCATGAGTTCATTTTTTATCTCCTCAAATGGACAGTAAATTCCTGGGGAGAAGAGATGGATGTGTCCTGTGTCTTACAGGGCTTGCTAAGAATGCTGAATGAAAGGATGGACGGATGGATGCATGCATGATTTGGGGAAGAGTATTTATGGCTTAATTTAATCTCAGTTTCTTTGGAAATCAGAGCACTGTTTTGTGCTTTCTACCCAGCCAGTTTGCCAGATGAACCCCTCGTGGTGCCTTGGGCTTTAATCAGGAGTTTAATTAGACCTGGCACCTGATTCTGGAAGAAATGGAGAACAGTGTGATGAGCACAAGGAGGAGAGATCTGGGCTGTCACCAGTCTGACATATGGTACCACATATCAACCAACAGCTTCCATTAGGGCTGGACTAAGTCCTGGGCTACTTTACTTGTAAATGTTAGACGTGCTTATTCTTTTGAGATGCCAAATGATTAAGACCTTTTATTGATTGACTGAAACAAAAAATATGAGCTACTTTTGGGTGAGAAGGGATGTATACAAGTGGTTGGAGAAGTAGTGGGTGTAAGGAATACAGTTCTAGATGTGGATTCTAAAGATTGGGTTTCATTCCTGACTTTTCCACCAACTAGCTGTTTGCCCATGGATAAGTTCATGTTTCCTGGTTTAAAAGTGTCTGAGTCAATGAAATGCAGTAAATGACTATTTAAAAGAATTACACAATGTTGGCAGAGGTATGTATGCTGTGAAACTAAAGACGCTTAAGGTTTAAAGTCCCTCTTGCATTGGTCCTTTCCAAGACCCTGTGCCTCATTTTGTCTGATGGTGTTATTCCCCTACACCTGGATCTCACATTAAGATTTCTTCCAGGTTCAAAATTCTGGTTTTGACCAACAGGCTTGAGGAAGGACACGTTCTGTTATATAACTCTATCATTTTATAACTTGTTAACATGAGTTACAAGGATAGTGCTTTATCATAGGTACCTTGTTCCTTTTGTAACAGGGTGGTCCCCAGGAAAAGGGGAGGTTCCAGGTTCCCTGCCCCATCCCAGGGAGGCTAGAGCTGAGTAGGGAGGAGAAGAGCAGGGAGGAGAAGCTACAGAGGAGACTGAAGAATAAAGAAGTGTCCACAGGCAGAAGGAGACCTCGAGGAGGCACACGGAGCAGAGAAAAAACTGCACTAGCTTCTTGGTCCTGGGCTGGTTAAAACAGATGCGGGTGAGAGACCCGTGGGGAGGTTCACCAAGGCAGTTTTTATCTTGATTTTCCTCCTCTGTCCCAGACATGCTGGACCCCTTCTGCCCCTTTCCTATGGGTCCCCACCAGAAGGTGCCTGAGACTCCTGGAAGGCTTTCAGGCCTCAGTGGCCCTGCTTTGGGCCAACCCTGTTTGGCTGGACAATTACGCACGAGAGGATGAGTAACTTTGAGTGCCTGATTTGGAAACTTTATTCCTTGTTGCACACTAATTGTATGAAAGTCCCTTTCCACTGAAGGTCTCACACACTAGAATATGTTTGGTCTTGACACGGCAGATGGCAAAACCTATTTAGAGCGGGCAGGCTTGCGGGTTCTGGGGTGCCCGTCACTCTGCCCTGTAACACTTTCTTTAGATGCTTAGCAAGATCTTGGGCAATTTTAACAAAGAAAAAGCCTGACTGAAAGTCTGCATCTGTGGGATTTACTAATAGAATATTTCAACTTGAGTCACATTTTATCGTAGTTCAGAAATCTACCAACAAAAATTCCTTTGCTATAAGACCTAAGTCCTGTGCCCATTAGTTTTTCTCAAGTCCTGAAGTTCCTGTCCTTTCACTTCAGTATTGCAGATGCAGGTCTCTCCTTTCATTTTCCGAGAGGAGCTTTGCCTCTGCCCCTTTGGCAGCCATGGCTGGGAGGTGCCGGGTCACTTCTGCAATGAGTTGACAGCACTCAGTTAAACGGGTCTTTATCCTGAAACAATCTAAGTTGGACACCAACCCTAGTCAAACTGGAACATTTTGGGAAGCTCAATAATTCTCTTACTTACTTATTCTCCACAGTTATCATCCTACTGCTAGTCCAAGAAGACAGGGCAGAGAAAGCAGATGGCGGAGGAGGTGAATATCTTTAGGCTGAAATTGCTTACAAAGGGGCCTTTCTTCCCAGCCTGCTCAGTCCTGACAATCTCTTTACCCTGCCAGCAACAGGCACCCACAGGACATCTGACCCTGCCTTGCTTTTCTGAGCCACCAGAAAGGCCTTGCCCGCATGCAATCTCGTGTGGGCACCCTCCCCTATCAAACCGGGGAAGTTAATCTGGACCTCGGGAATTCTTTTAATCTGTTTTTCTTGTTATTGGCATCTTTTGTTCCCTTTTGTGGTGAGGGAAGAAAGAACGTTTTCTTTCTGTGTTTATTCTTCCTGGTCAGTTTTACCGAAAGTGAGGTTATAGCTCTACTTCTGACTTCAATTTGTGTCAAACACAAGCCTGGGCATTTTGTTATTGTTTTGCCTCTAACCTTTGTTTGCCCAATAAATAATCACTTCCTTCCCAGACTTACAACCCACTGGTACCCCTGAGGCTGAGAGTAAAAAGCCTAGGTCACTGGAAAGCTTAACATTTACTCTACCTCTCTGAAACTTGCATTTTCCACTTAATGCTTTTTATAATTTAAACTTAATTTTCATGTTTATTTGTTAGTTGGATTTAAATCAGCATTTAGTTTTGAATCAGTTTTGACTTGGCCTCTTACTTTTCTGGCTCATAATTTTCTTTCAGCTATGTTATTTTCCAGCTTTTTCATCCTAAACCCCAGGAACTGGGTTCTAACCCAGCTCTGATCAGTTTGTGACCGTGTCCCCCAGCACATATTGCTTCATTTCATTAGACTGGGGTTTAAAATATGCAATGGGCCTGTTGGGGGAAGAGTATGACTTGAATGAACTCCACCCATTGTTGGTTTTATGGACTCTACCTCACCTCCATGCCAAAGAGATTCCAAGCGCCTAGGATTACAAAGCCCATCCTGCCATGATCTGCCATGATGTGTAATGTCCTGAAAAGGGGGTTGCTGGGAACTAAGGTGGAGTTAAGCAGCCACGACTGGTATAAAACCGAACATATGTGGGCCTGGGCTCTACTAGTTTTGCCTACCATTAGTGTGCTCATAGGGTCCCAGCTCAGATAGAGTAACTGCTAGGACACATTGACCCATTAATCTCTCTCTCTCTTTCTCTCTGAGTTCCCCTTCTTTTCATTTCCTCTTGAAAATAAACCTTTCTATGTGTGGCTGCAGTTGGGTCTTGTTCTATGTTATTTTTCTTAGCACGTGGGTGAGGACTCACGCTCAGGTCATCCCATTTCCTTTCGGGGTTGCCCTAAAACAGCCCCTCTCTTTATAATGTTCTTGTGGCCTACGAATTGGCTTTGTTTTACTCACTCCTTTTTCTATGTTAGCATTTTAAGAAAATTCCCCAAATGTATTTGGGAACAGATTGTTATCAGATGACGCTGATGGTAATTAGGAATAGAATAATTCCCGATAAGTTATAGTTTTCAAAATACTAATCTTTGGAAATGACCAGAATTGCCCGCATTTGCACGAGGAGGCTGTCCACTCTGCTGGAGGTAGGCGGGCTGTCCTCTTATGGGTCTCCTTATGTGGGAACAAGCAATTCCTCGTGCTGCTTGATTGTAAAATAACTCCAAGCCTGCTGTCCAGGCTTTGAGGGAGCTGAGAGAGACTATGACTATTGTCAGAAGAGACACATTTTCCAGTAGGTTTAAAAAATAAGAAATACATAAATAAATAAATAAATAAATAAATAAATAAATAAGCCTCCTATGTCTCCTGGTTTTATCTGCCACATAGACAGACTCTGCCCAAACCCTTCTTACTTGCTGCCTGCAGGCCAGTCTTGGTGAAATTCAACCTATGGGTTTTGGTGATTTGGATTGTCTTCCTGGGGAGAAAAATCCAGACACAAAACAACATCCAGCTTCCCTATGGTGATTGGGGAGGTGGGGAGGCAATGAAGCATGGGGAAGGTTGTGGGGGGAAGAGGCATCTTTCTCTCCCTCTGCCTCCTCTGCAGGGCTGCTGAGTGGTCAAGCTAAGACGAGAGGATTTCGAGTGGGCTGGCTCCAGACACACCAGCAGAACAGGTACCGGGACTATGGACATGCAGGCCTGTGGTGAGCTTTACAGTTTGCAAGCATTTTCACACTATCTCATAGGGGCAGGTCAGTGGCTCCAGAGCCATCTTGCAGTCATAGAAATTGCATAGTAGAGTGGTTAGATACATTTCCCAAGAGCACGCCGTCTTTCAAAGGAGAGAGCCACACCCATATCCAGTTCCAAAATTTGGTATGGGAAGATTCCCATGCCACAAGACAACTTCTCTGCGTTCATCATGGATGCCTCAAGTTCTACCCTTTAAAATTAGTTTCTCTGGGAACATCTGTATTTTAATTCTTTAGGAAGCATGAGTTAGCCGGCTGGCTTCTTCCCACCAAAGAGCAGCTTCTCACAGAAGGGGCATCTCAGCTGGCAGGGAAGGAGAAAGCCAGGCATGTTGGGCAACTATAAGCCATGCAAGGGCCTCAACTCGGGGTGGTGATGGCACAGCAGTAGGGCTGGGGAGGGGCCCAGGCAGGTGGCCCAGGAAGCGCTGGAAGGGAAAGCAGTAGGAAGGTCAGTTTCCTTTTTTTTACTGGGCCAGCTTAAGTGGCCTTTCCAGGATACTTGTGGTTCCAGCAATCCCTTGGTACAAAAGAAAACACTGAATTCCTTGGAGCCATCATTGAGACTTGAAAGTTTGGGACCTCTGGTAAAGCAGCAATTTAGGAACAGTTCTGCCAGAAGTGGGATGTGTTCCCTGTAGACTTATAATTTGAGGAACTGCCTTATTTCATAATGGAATCACGGTCACGAATTCCTGGGCCTGAAAGGGCTACCACAGTAGGAGAGAAATTTATAGGCCCACAGTCAGCAACTGAGACCCCAAGGGATAGGGACGTGCCTAAGGACAGGGTGAATTAGTGGCACCTAAAGTTACAATCAAATGCACTTGCAAATCCCTAATGAGGAGGTTGGGTACAGGAAGTGGAAAATACACCCTCAAACATTAGAGTTTAAGTTCTCCTTGGAAAGTTCTCCAGTCTTTCAGAAATTGAAAAAGGTGACAACCGAGGCAGCCTAGGGCATGTGCTTAAATTATTTGGGAGTGTTAAGGACATCTGAATATTTCCAGAGTACTTTTACTGTTTGGATGGTTAACAACAGCAGCAATAGCAACAACCTCTTACATAAAACACCCCTAAATGCCAGCTCCTTCCTCTATATATAGTATACAAAATATGAGAGACCTTTGCACAAAGTAGCTCTCTATCAATTTTCCCTCTGAGCCCCCAAATCAGGTAAGGGGCTGCAGATTTCTGGGAAAAGCCTCGGCTTATTCCCACTTACTCAGCTGGGGATCAGCACAAGAACATTGGTAAGACTAGCAAGAACACCAGTAAACTCCCTCTGAAGAGGTCAGGCCCTTAAAACTTGCTACTTGCAGAGTCCGCCAGCACAGTAAGGCAGGAAAAGGCTACAGGTTTCCACCCAGTCTACCTCGACTGCAGGAAGCAGCTCTGGCCACCAGTGGGAAGGCCTCTCCAGACAGGGAAGTGGAGTGGGCTCCTGTGGTCCTCTCATAGGGCGAATGAGTGTTCCCTCACTTAGCTGATGTGCTGAGGGATTTGATTTGTCAGGTTTCATTTCTGAACAGCATTTCTCTCAATTCAGTTTATAGGTTGTCCACGGGTTTCCTTCCATTCCCCACAGGGGCAATCCTCTGGGCTCCTCCCCTCTCCCTGAAGGCGTAGGCTTCCTCCTTTCCAGGGTCCAGCCTGCCTGGACACTCTCTCATGCGCCTCTGGGACCAGAGGATGAGAACCACCTACTCTGTTTACATCTGCTCAGTTCAGCCAACGAGCCTTGAGGACAGACTCAGAATGTTCCATACTAGTCCAGCACACTTGGTGATGGAAACATCTGCTGTCTGACCTCGTGGAGCCTGTAGACGAGTAAGGGAGACAAATGGACCCATAAAAGCCATGTCCAAGACAGAGATGTGATCAAGAGGTCTTTTGGGAAAGACCCTGGAGGCCATTTACCCACTTGAAACAAGAAATGAGTTCCAGATAGGGCCTGTGAACAGCTTTGGAACTCTGAGGGGAGTTGATTTCATGTCAGAAGGTGCGTGAAGGAGCTCCTGCAGGAGGAGGCAGCTGGACAGGGGACTGTGGGATGAGTAGGTTTCTGACCCAGAGAGATGCGTATTCCAGGTAGCAGGAGCAGTATGACCACAGGCCCAGAGGGAAGCAAGCAAGGTGGACTCTGCAGACAGTGGGCAGAGACGGGGGAACAGGTTGGGCAGATGGTGGAGAGAGATGCTGGGAATAGTCCTTACTGTAAAGGCCTTTCAGTTCCACAGCCAATGGGAAGGTACTGAGGGCCACATGTCTCAACAGGGGAGGCTTGGCCTGCAATGTAGAGGGGAGATGGGAAAATCAAGAGCAAGAATCAGTTCAAAGGTTATTTTTTAGGTGGGCACAAGAGTCAGCAAGGGCCTGAAGTGGGGAGGCAGGGCAGATGAAAACACAGTGAGAGAGTCAGCCCACTGGATTATAGTTGCCCTGTTCAGGAGAGGCCATCACTCACATGCAACTACCAAGCACTTGCGATGAGGCTAGTCTGCACCGAGAGGTGCCCTCCATGTAAACGTGCATCCGATTTCAAAGACCCAGTAACTTCTTAGTCACTATACTGGTTACCTGATGAGGCTACCTTAGGCCCCATGGGGTTTTCCCACTATCTGAAAGTAGAGCAGCCTTCCTATGAAATCTTTCGTAAGTCAAAATGGTGTAAAGCAAAGAAACAATCACGGAATAATTTTCGAGAATTCCCAGAACCCCAAAATAACCTAATAAATCATAGCAAATAACACATTTCTAAAACCACACTTATGTGTAGTCAGAGCAGGAACAGCAGGAACGGACAGTAATCGCATGGCTGCCTGCAGCCCTTCCCGGGGGTTGGGGGGGTGGGGCCTGGCCGAGCTGCATGCTGCTGGGGTGCCGCTGCGTCTAGCACTGGGTTGCAAAATCGACACCCAACCCGCTCTTTGCTTTTTGCCATGAAAGTGAAAATCCTCTTCCTCTTCAGAGAAAACAGGTACCAATGTATGACTTTTGTGAAAGCAAAGTGGCTTAATGCAAACTTTCAAAAAGTGGGGGACACCTGAATTGGGTTGAGAAAATAGACAAAAATTAATTCCACTTGTTTCTCTTTAAAATGTGTCTGTCAGGGACCTCCCTGGTGGTGCAGCGAGTTGAGTGCCTCGCTGTGAGGCTGTCCACAGCCTTTGCAGCGCGGGTTTGATCCCCAGCTGACCCTGCTCCCCTCAGCAGTGTATTTCAGTCAGTCTGCCTGTTTTGTTCCCCACTCTGTCTCTGGTGGATCCTCTCACTCTCTGTGCCTCTGGCCTGTACCCCAGCTCTTGTATAAGTAAATAAAAATATTTTTTAAAAAGTGTCTGTCAGAAAGCTTGAACCTACACATGTGGCTGATTCTATCTCCATTGGACAGTGTTCAGCTAGAGGATGAGGGGATGAGGCAGCTCTCAGGGCAGGAAGGGAGAGGGCTGAGGGGGACCTCAGGAGAGTGGTTGAGGAATGGAGGGGATGACACAGATTTGTCAGCTCCCCAAACCAAAATAACCTCTTGCATTTGTTGGAGCCATGGGGAGCTTCAGGAATTGCCAGTGCTCCAAAATGGAGCAGAACGTCTAGGGATGACCTTCTGGCCTCCCCACTCACTGCACACGACCGTGTGCAGTTTTATGCTCAAGTGTTGCTTCCCTGTGGTTCTGAGTTCATGCCTGAGCCAGACGGCAAGGCTCTTCAGGGCCACACTACTGATTCCCACTTGCTTTCAGCATTGACTCACTCTAACCCTGGGGCGGAAGCAGATGCAAACACACTCATGTTTTGGGGCAGTCAGGCAACTGGGGGGAGGGGAGAGAAAGAGGAGCCTTAAGGCTTTGACTGATTTCCCTTGGTCCCCTCTCCCCAGTGTGGCTCTTGACAACCGATTTGCTTCCAGAATTAAGGTCATGGACTCAAAAGATGTGCTGTCCACCGTGTGACAATGACACAGCTATCGGCAGGGACAAGCCCGGGACTATGGCTTAGCAGAGGGTAAAGAGCACCGGATGGGGAGCGCTGGCCTTGGACCTCAGCAACCCTGGTGCTTCTTCACTGAATCTCCACGTCTGTGCAAGGAGCAGATGATACCCACCTCTTAGCCTTGTGAAAATTAAGTAACGATGAGTGAAAAAATCACTCATGGCTAACATAGGAGTGTGACTTCATGGTCTACAAATGGGTTTCCCATCCAAGATCTTATTTGAACCTCACAGTAAGGCAGGTATTATCATTTCCACTTTACAGATTTCAAAACCTGTTCAGAGATCACACAACTAGTACGAGGTAGAACGGCCTGCAGCCCCACCTGATTTGGCCACTGACCTTCGCTGCCTATAGAAAAGGTCAGCTGGCACAAGAAGAGTTATACTATACCATCAAGATCTGCTACATTTAAGGTGAGCCTAATAGATCTTGTCATAATAAAATAAGGAGAACACATTCTGTTTTCAGTCTGATTAGGGGAGAAGATACAGGCGTGAGAGCTTTAGGCTAAGCTTGGAAAGAAACCGTGACAATTAGGCCAAGGGGAAAGGAGATTGCACAAACAGGAATGATGTGGATTGGTGGCCACACAGGGCAGTCTGGAAAAGTGCTTGTGCCCTCAGAGTTGGGCAATGAATGCAGAGGGAGTTGGGAGCTCTGTAGGATACATCCTAAGGTGTTTCCTGTGGAAGTTCTAGAAGAAAACCACTGAGGTCAGCTAAGGGGAATACAGGCTTCATGGAAACACTGGTCAAACCACATTACAGGACAGATACACACTGGATAACCAGCAAAGTGAACTCAACTTCCCAACATTTGGCAGTGACAGAAGATTCAGTTCCAATGACCAATTGTTTATTGAATGAATGTCAGCTCAAAGACTAAAAAATGCATTCTAACTATGACAGCAAAGGAAGGACACAAAGAACAGAGTGTCTCAGATCCCATGAAACAGCTTATTGGAATCTGTGAACTCTGGAATAGGAGGACTCTGACAACCCTACCCTATGGCCAGACACTGTTAAGAGCCCAGGAAGGCGTGAGGCCACAGGGGTCTGGCCATCCATGGGTTCACCCCACCACCCACTTGGTTCATGTGCGTGTAGTGTGATTCCTGGATGAGATGCTGGCTGCCGATTGCAGGTGGAGTGTACACAGCTGAAAAATGGCAATAGGTTCTTAGCACTGCTCAGCCCAACAAACTAGGTAAGTCCCCAGAGTCTGAGCAGGAACAAGATTGTTCCATGCTTTGGAAGGAATTGGGAAGTTGTTAGAATGTGGGGCTAAGAACGTGTCTTTGAACAAATAGCTCTGTACTTCAACTTTGCTGTCAACTGAGTGACTCTGGGCAGGTGGTTTCATTTCATAGAGCTTCAGTTTCTTCATCTGCAAAATAGGGTGGTATTATAACTGTCAAGTTATGCCTCTGAGGGAAGGAAGTTAGATAATGTATGCAGAGCATTCCACACTGTGCCTGACATATGGACCACTTAGGACATGGCAAATAGCACTCTGATCACTGCAGTATCCTGGGGTGCATCACAGGGGACCCCAGGAAGGATCCTCTGACTTAAATGTAGATCCTAGACTTCTGGCCACCCCCCAAGTTTCCTTTGGAGGTATGGTGTGTAATGGGGGGCATAGTCCAGTTCTCTGGCTAGGTCAAAGAGCACAACCTCAATTGCTACTTTCCATCCCAGATTCTCTCAGAGGCAGCACACAACTGTGGGATGATGTGGAACAGGAAGACTGGCTCTGCCACCCTGGCCCAGTGATCTGCCAAGGGCCTTGTCCAAGCTGGGAGAAGGAAGGCTGTCTGTTGTGTTAGCCTGTCACAGGATTAGGTTCAACTCCATTTGCCTAGCTTTAAAGTTCCTTCCACCTTATTCCCTGGCCTCATCTTCCACAACTTTTCATGCCAGGTCAAGCTTTTCTTAGCATTAAGCATTTCCTTCACACCCAGACAGAACCTTTTTGCCTACATTTTTCACGTCTAAATCCTACACCTTTGCATCCCCTCTCTCCAGCATCTAGCGTGGGATCCTGAATAACATAGATGATTGTTTTTTCAATTAAGATTAAGTTTGGTTACATGTGACAGGAAAATGAAAATAGTATTAGTCTAAACAAGATAGAAACTGTTTCTCTTCCATGGCAAAGACGTCTAAGAGAAAAGCCCAGGGCTGCATGATGGCTCCAGGTGTCAGAGTCCCACGTACCTCTGCCCTGCTGTCCCCTCTTCCTTAGCACATCTCCACATGGTCCAACATGGCTGTCTGGTTTCAGACACCATATTCTTATGGAGCCATCACAGAGGAGAGGAGAGAGCAGGCAAAGCATGTATCCCCCCACTTTAGGGAGACTTCCTGGATGCTACACTTCTGCTCAAATCTTATTGTCTGAAACTTAGTCACATGGTCATTCTACCTTCAGGGGAGACTGGAATGCAGTTTTCTAGTTGGACATATTACTATTTCTAACAGAGACAGTCATACCACCTATATGTTTGCCTCTGCCACCCCTGACCCCAAACCTGCCCAGTTGCAGCAGTGTTCCGGCAGTGTGCTGATCCATCCATTGGCCATCAGAAGAGGTCTGGTAGGTGGGAACACCCGTCCCCACCTCCACCCTTCACCCACAGTGGCCCAAGCTCCAGGAAAATCCATATACACCCTGTTAAAAGCACACACAAGTCATGCCAATGGGCACCAGTGGCCACATGGCCTATGCTAAAGACAAATATGAAAGCAAATAATTGGGAGAAAGAGATATACAAGTGGTCAAGCAAGCCCTCCTGAGAACAATACACCACAGAAAGAAAATCAGCTTCCAGAATCCAATGACACTGACATGGAAGAATTTTTCTGCCTGATAAATACAGAATTCAGAATCATCTTAATTAAAAAACTAAAAGCCAGAAAGAAAAAGAAAAATACCGGATGGTCTCACTCATAGCAGGAATCTAGAAAACCTAAATAAGGGACCAGAAAAAAGAATAGCTATAAGAAAGAAAAAATCAAAATCAACAAAAAACTATGAACCAGAGACACTCTATGGAGGGTAGGGGGCGGGGAGGGGAGGGATTGGGGTCAAAATAAGGGGGTTGCAATTGTATGGGGAATATAAAAATAAAATTTATTTTTAAAATTAATTAATTAATTAATTTTAAAAAAACTAAAAGAAGCAGAAAAGGAACAAAGCTATGGGAAACATACTGAACAGAAGAATGAGATTGAATCTTTTATTTATTTATTTTTACATTGTTGTTTATTTTTGTACATCCCTGATTTCCCCTCTCAGGTGTTGTCACCATAAATATACCACCACCAAGACACCCTCCTGTTTTGATCCCTTTCCCTGTCCCTCTCCTGATGAACGTCTCTGATTCATTGTTTGCCTGTTAGCTGTGTCTTCCCCCCGCCCTCATCTCTTGTATAGTTTCCCTGTGTTCCTCCTGTAAGTGAAACCATCCAATAGTTTTCTTTTGCCTTCTGATTTCACTGAGCATAATCCCGTCCAGCTCCATCCATGTTGCTGTGAATGGCATAAGTTTATCCTTTTTGATTGCTGAGTAGTATTCCATTGTATATATATACTACATCTTCTTGAGCTAGTCATGTGTTTTTGGGCATTTAGATTGTTTCCATATTTTAGCTATTATGAGGAACACAGGAATATAAGTATCCATTTCTATATTCTTCTATTTCTTTTCTCAATGTTTTGTATTTTCTTTGTATAGATCTTTCACCTCCTTTGTGAGGTTTATTCCCAGATATTTATTTCTTTTTGGCACAACTGTGAATGGGATGTTTTTCTTGATTTCTTCTTCTTCTGATATATTGTTTGCATATAGGAAGGCGATGAAGGCTACTGATTTTTCTATGCTGATTTTGTAACTTGTCACTTTACTAAACTGGCTTATTGTTTTCATTCATTTTTATGCAGAGTTTTTAGGGTTCTCTCTCTATATTATCTTATCATCCATGAATAGTGATAGTTTTACTTCTTCTTTCCCTAGTTGGATTCCTTGTATGTCTTTTTCTTGCCTAATTGCTCTCGCTAGGACTTCCAGTATTATATTGAAAGGCATTGGTGAGAGTAGACATCCTTGTCTTATTCCAGATCTTAAAGGGAAGGCTTTTCATTTCTCACCATTAAGAATGCTGTTGGTGGGTCTCCCTGGGGGTACATGGGTTAAAATATCAGCACTATGAAGCAATCACCAGCCACTGCAGCATGAGTTTGATCCCTGACCAGGGAGCTAACACACATGGCACAGCAGACCTCTCCTGTCTCACCTGCTGCTCCCTCAGCAGTAATTCAGTAGATCCACCTGTTCTGCTCCCCACTCTGTCTCTGGTGAATCCTCTCACACCCCCCCACACCTCTGGTCTATACCCCAATTATTATATGCACAAAAATAAAATAAATCTTAAAAAAAAAGAATGATATTGGTTGTAGGTTTCTCATATATGGCTTTTATTGTGTTGACATATGTTCCTTCTATTCCAAGAATTTCAAGGGTCTTCATCATAAATGGATATTGGACTTTATCAAATGCTTTCTCAGCACCTATTGGTATGATCACATGGTTTTTGTTTTTCTTTTTGTTGATGCAGTGAATTTCATTAATTTATTTTCAGATGCTGAGCCACCCTTGTGTCCCTGGTATAAATCCCACTTGGTCATGATGTGTTATCCTTTTGATGTGCTGTTGAATTTGGTTTGCTTGGATTTTATTGAGGATTTTTGCATCTGTGTTCATTGGTCTGTAGTTTTTTTGTGTTATCTTTGGTTTTGGTATTAGTGTAATGTTGACTTCATAAAATGTACTCGTTAGTATTCCTTCTTTCTAAATTTTTTGGAAGAGTTTTTGTAGGATAGGCACCAGTTCATCTTTGAACATTTGGTGGAACTCATTTGTGAAACCATCTGGACCTGACTTTTGTTTTTGGAGAGGGATTTGATTACTGTTTGGATTTCATTACTTGTAATTGGTTTGTTTAAGTTTTCTTTCTCTTTATTCAGCTTTGGATGCTTAGTTTTAAGAATTTGTCCATCTCATCTAGATTGTTGAACTTGTTTGCATATAACTGTTCATAGTAATCTCTGATTATCTCTGTATTTCTGCTGTGTCTGTTTAATTTCTCCTCTTTCATTTGTGATTCTATTTATTTGATTTCCCCCCCTTTTTTTCCTCATGATGTCAGTCTAGCTAGAGCTTTGTCTATTTTACTTTTTTTCAAAGAACCAGCTTTTGGTTTCATTAATTTTTTGAATTGTCTTTTTTATTTCTCTTTCATTGATTTCTGCTTGAATTATTATTTCCTTTCCACTGGTTTTTGGATCTTTTTGTTGTTCTTTTTCTAGTACTTTAGGATGAGAAATTAGGGGTTTTTTTTTTTTAATTCTT